TGTGTGTGTGTGTGTGTGTGTGTGTGTGTGTGTGTGTGTGTGTGTGTGTGTGTGTGTGTGTGGCGTTATTTTAGCTACCCGATGGAGACAGTCATGGTCATGGATCTTTACTTCCAGGTCTGAACAGAGACCACCAAGCTCTGAACCTGTTCTCATGTTTTCCACTTTGTGTGAACAACTTGAAGTCTGTGTTCTCCTCCAGGTTCCTTCAGCTAAAAGCAGCAAGGAGAAGAGGGAGCAGTGGGGGCTTCGCAGCAGCCTTTCTCCTCCCCCTTCTGCCTCCCGCCCCTCCACCCCATCCCCCCCGTCCCGAACCTGCTCCCCTCTCCCTCTGTCCCGCACCTCCTCCCCGGCTCCTCCCCCTCTCCCGGTGCTGAGCACGGCGCCTGCCTCGGGGCCCCCTCTGCCGCCGCCGGCCCCTCTCCTCCCGCCTCCACCGCCCCCACCGGCGTCCAGCATCAGGGAGAGCCCCTTAGACGAGGACACGACCGCGCTGCTGCCGCCCAGCGACGCCCGGCTGCGGCTCGGCGAGGACGGCGGCACCGAGAACCCGCTCCTCGCCCCGCTGCTGTCTACCCCGTCTCCTCGTCGCTCCCCTCTGCCCCTGTCCCCCGTCGACCTGGACCTGGACGAGTCCCACGTCTGAGACTGGAAGAAAGAAAACGGGAGAGTTTGAAAGAATGACATGATTCCTTTGCTTTTTGTTTTTATTGTTTATTTAACAGCTTAACCAAACGTCTTTCTTTTACTTTAAATGTTGTTTTTTTTAATTCAGCTTTTTCTGAATGTAAAATTATCACTGCAGTGAATCTACGTTTTTCACTCAACTTTAAACCATTTCAGGCTGAAATCAAAGATTTATTTTACAGTTATTCATAGTAAATATTTATTAGAAAATTTAACTTTTATCACCTCTGAGAAATTTAAATATAAAAGATGTTTAGGTAGATAAAAAAATGCTATTATTGTGTATAATGGAGCCATTCTGAAGCTAAAGGTGACTTCATTTAGAATCATTTTATTATATGAAATCCAGAGTTGTGTGTTCATGAGTGTATTTATGTGTGTGTGTGGATTTTTACTGGAGCACAGTGTTTTAAGCCATGATGATAATACAGCTAAAATCTCCCTGTTTTAATAGAWAAGCAATATTAAATCATGAGTGCCCCTTCAAAACTACTTATCTTTTTATTTTTAGGTTTTACTTTTTTGGACATGTTCCTGAAGGAAAAACTTGTGATAAAGGGGAAAAAAAGGACTTCAGAACCTTTTAGTTTAGCTTTTTTGAATATCTGATTCCAGTGTTTCTTGTGCTGCAAAGTGTTTTCATCCGATTCTGTTTGTGACCAAAGACTGTAGCTTGTATCTCAGCGATTTCTGCAGTGAATCATATTTCAAAAATAAGAGAAAAAAGTTGAGCTTTTATTAAGAAACGTGTCTTGTCGTTGTGTCTGTGATGCTGTCTTTATTTCTTGTAACCTAACTGTGATGAAACATAGATAACCTTGTAGCTCGTTTCAAGTTGTAACGAGGAAACGTGTCGTTATCCAAGGGAAAAAAGTGTGTATGAGATTTAAAAAAAAAAACACAGACCTCATAATCAAATCCTTTAGTCTGGGTGCCATAATCCCCACCAATGCACTGTGAGTGTTTGTCTCTCGCTGCTTTTTCTGGTTTTCTTTATGACTTAGTTATATAAAAATATATATTTATGCACAAGAATATACAGAGTATGAAAATATTTAAAATTTACATTTATATTGAAGTAATATCTGGCTATTTTATTTAATTTACCACCCAAAATGTTAGAGATTCTCTGTTGTTACACTTTGTGCCACCAGGGGGCAGTATATGTGCGCAAAACTTTGTTTTCTTCAGTGTTGTCTTTTTGTCTAACTTATAATAAATCTACAGTATATGAAATAATTTCTGCAATATCTAAATAAATAAATATTATTTACAGAATTTTTGAGCTTATTTGTTTTTAGCTGCCAAAGGAAAACAACTAAAATAGAGAGAGAACCGTAGTGGGCTGAAATGCCTGATGAGCTGATGAACTAAACTTTTTTTTCCCCTGATATACAGCGGGTAAAATAAGTATTAAACACATCACCATTTTTCTCAGTAAATATATTACTAGAGGTGCTAATGACATGAAATTTTCACCAGATGTTGGTAACAACCCAAGTGATCCATACATACAAAG